ATGGTCAGGCTACAGGTCAAAGCCATGGCCCGGCGCAATCGCGCTCGACGCGAAATACACCGCGCGGGTAAAAAGACAGGTCCAACCGATAAGGCGAGCGGCATCGGGTCCTCACACGATGGGTCTCCATCACGAGCGTCAAGTGTGCCGTTGGTATTGGATTCCAGTAGTGGCCTGGATGATGGCGTAACCGACACAGACACTGCAAGCTTTGCCACACCCGCCTCACGACAGCCAGCGTTAGGTGTCCATGGCTCGGTTGAAAGCAACTCCTCTGACACAGTCAGGTCTCAGATTGCCCCTTTATTGTCATTATCTGCTATCCACGGTGCTTTCTACCTCGATTACCTGTTGATCTTCCTCTATCCATTTTATCAGCCTTCCGGTCGCCAGGGCGGAAGAGCATGGATCCTAGAGCTGCTGACAACCAGCGCTGCCTTCCAACAAACCATTCTGCGTTCCAGCAACTACTTTTATCCGCTTATTTGGCCAGCTGAATCTCGTCTGGACGGCGAAACCCAAGTGAATAAGATGACACATACTGAGGATCCCTTCACTGCTTTGAGTCAGTCATTGCAGACGCTTCTCAGTGTCACAGACATTAGCCAACAGGCGCATTGTGCTAGTCGAGTCCTGACAAGCATCATACAGATCCATAGATACGAAATCTCTATCTCTAATTTCAGCAACTGGAGAACCCATTTAGATGCTGCCGTGGCCCTTTTTACACAACTCGCCGACGACCCCTTGGATAGAGCCGACAGTGAGGATGAATCGGATGAGGATTATTTGATGAGCAGTCTCAGTATCGTTCCCAGACGGATAAATTGGCCAATGAGGGGGACAGGTGTCACGTTTACTACACAGGAGGCATTGCGTTTCTCTGTGGGCCTTATGCTGTTCGATGATATCGTGGCGGCCGCTAGCTCGCGGCAAGAGCCTCGACTTTACCCGTATCACGAACAGTTGCTTGGAGGTGATGATCCTGGTATTGAGCTCGAGACAATTATTGGGGTCAAGAGCTGTGTCTTGAAGAGCCTTGGTGAGGTTGCCACGCTAGATGCAAAGAAACAGCACGATCAGGCGGCGGGAAACTTCGATGGAATGGCATTTGCCAAGCGTGCCTCTATGCTCGAAGGCTCTTTGACCATCAATCTCGGAGAGGTTTTGAGATCGATCTCACTTCCCTCAAACCCTCATCCAAAGCAAAGAGAGTGCCTGGAGGAATTCTACAACCCCTGCTATGCACGCTACACACGTGAAGACAGTCGCCTGGTCTCGCAAGTTTGGGCCCATGCAACCATGATCTACTTGATCACCGTCGTATCAGGGTGGCAGCCAGGCAATATCAAGTTACGACATCAAGTTAATCTCATAGTTGCGCTGTTAGATGGCGAGGTCTCTGCCTCGCTATTACGCGCAATGGCATGGCCGTTTTGCCTCACAGGCTGTTTTGCTGACTCCCTTCAAAGACATCGGTTTCGTAGTATGGTAAGCAAACTCCAGCCATCGGCAGTCTTTGCCAACGTTCACAAGGCACTCGAGATTATGGAGTGGATATGGCTACAAGGATGGGGGTATGAGAGTGGCAGCCAGCGTGTGCCCTCTCATTGTGATCTTTCTGCATGTTTCCGAAGCCAGAACGATTTGCCCTTACTTGTGTGACTGGTATGTATGGCGGCAGCATGGCGAAAGACTCTGAAGGTCTGATGTATAGGGGGCTGTGGTCAGGGTTAATACGATAATGTACGATCAACTGTGCAGGTCATTTGTACTGACTTAATATCGTCCAAAATTCGAATAAATGTGCAACTTAATATGACTGGGAGTTTCCTAAGTCCCAACCACTAATTAGTGATCACTATAGTTACTCTCTATTGCATAGTTGGATCTATCAGCAATCAGTATATCACTCGTGTGGTCCTGACTCAGACAGGCTTTCCGTACGGAATACGACTAGTTTACACTTGATCGGTTTCTCTCTTTCTTTTGAGGTCGGTGCAAGTATCTCTCGTAGGCCCTGTTCTTGCTTCATTTGTCCCTGATAAACGGCCGATTAGCCATGTCAAGAAGGACGTTAATTTCCCGCGCGGGATAGTGTTTGCCATAACTGAACAGGTGCCGCTTTGCCTGAGAATGTCCACATATAAAGGAAATGATATCAAAATTGGCAGTAAAGTCCAATTAGTATCTCAACTTTCTCAAGTCCTCATAAGCTTGCAATCGAAACTCATCCTCGGACTAACCACAATTTTCAGTCTCCTTTCTGAATCTTGCAATTCCGTGACAACACAAACAAGGCGGGAAAGGCAAGAGTTCCAATGGAAGTACTTGGATTTCGTGTTCTTCCTAAGACACCAGAGGTTGCCGAAGCACGCCGAACCTTGACAGACAAATACGCCAATATTGCACAAATCTCCCAACTGATCTTCGTTCTCGGTATTCCACTTTGCAGGCTGACGCTTGCTCGCCTGACAAGACCCACAAACCCCGAGCTCAGGGATGGAATGAAGAAAGAACTTGACGCAGGTCTGCGAAAGCTGAACTCTACGCTTATTTCAGTTGGCGGGGCCTCTGGTGTAGGTATTGTTTGGGCTATATGGCTATTCTTACTCTGTTATATCCAAACTGCTCCAGGTATGATATGTTTACTTTCGCATTTCCGAATTCTAGCTAACAGGCGCTGTCATCATGTCGCAGACCTCATCCACCTCATCAGACGCTATGGACTAGTAGCTGCCTCCCAACTACCATTGCATATCCTCTTGTCTACGCAGCACAAGGTCTCGCCGATTTGGTTTCTGGTCAGAGGTTCATACAGATGGAGCATGGCACTTCACAAAACAGGCGGAAGAATTATAATTTTCTTCTTTGGTCTTCACAGTCTAGGCTACAGCGGCATCTTCATCCAAAGCCACATGTTTAGCACCATAGCCCGACAACCACAGATGATGGTTGCCATCATGAGCGCAGCCATATTTCTGATTATCGGCGCCACCTCCATCAGCGCGTTTCGGCTGAGACGGTACTCGTTATTTCACAGGATTCACTATGTTGGATCCATCATTGCCATTGTTCTTCTCTTTTTCCATAACAGCTATATTAGAATGTATTTAGTAGAGAGCTTGGTCGTCCTACTTCTCAAATACATAGCCAGGACATGGACTACTGTACTAAAAGTACTCTAATTTAACACCACATTTTTATTGACACTTCACTTTGATGACTGTATAATACATCTAGCACGTAGGCTCTTGGGGGAATATTATGTGTCAATGGCTGTATTATCACATAAAGCTGGAAGCTACCAATATGGTTAACAAACAAGCCGATGAATTTATTCGGCTTCGATAGCTATGAGCCGTTCCAGCCTGAATTCAGAACTTGACATAGCCTGTGCCTGGGACGAATGTTGCATGCCAGGGTACGTCCTGCTCTTGTTGAGCTAGACTCACGAAGAACTGCCCATGTGCTGCACCATCGAGTCCCATTCCTCCCATGTTGCCATCAGCTTGGCGTTGGTCAGCATAGAAGAACCTGACGAGAACATATTAGCACTTGTCTTTGGCTACTGGACATGGTTCTAGTCGTTGCTGGTACTGACCGCATTCCCTTGCTCGCAGACGTCATGTCGGCAAGATGAATCCAAAACGAGGACGCCGACTTCCCCATGCCTAACGTAGCAGAAGCGGGCACGGGCACCGGTTGAATATTCATCTTGTTGCCTGTGTATATAAAGGTCTTTTTTGTCCCTTCAGGAAGCTCTCTCCATCCATCAATAGCTTGTTGCGCGGCAATAAACGGGCCAAGGGTGTTGATGTTGATATCACCGACAAGACTTTCTTGGGCAAGCGAGAACATGTCGTCTTCTACTGGGGGCACCGTTCGTGCTGCGGCATTCCAGACAACCACACTAGGAGAGGCTCTCCATTCGTTCTGAACTCGTTGAAATATACCCGGGATCGAGCTGAGGTCCGCTAGATCTGCTCTGAGGGACAAAAAGCCATCACTTGTCGTGCAGTCGGATCCAGACCTGGACACCACAGCTACCTTATAGCCACTTTTCAGAAATTCTTTGGCAACTCCAGTTCCAACTCTGGGACCAACTCCAAATATAAGTGCAACCAGGTTAGATGACATGTTGAGCAGTTGCTGTAAGGGTACAGTAGCTTCGTAAAGAGAGTTGTGAAAACAAGAGAGAGAGAGAGAGAGAGCACGGAAAGCAGCTTTTGAGCAAGGGACAAGTGCCTCATATAAACATTCAACTAAGCCCGAGGAAGTTTTCAAGGATCCTTGTCTCTCGCTGTTGGCAATCGATGGAAACATTACTACCGGGTCGTCGTGTAAGTCCTAAGCCGCGCGGGAAAACAACTCGCAGCACCACGTTTTGCCTGGAAATGGGGTGCCGTCCATTTGTCCCTAATTGTGGTGCTTTACATGAAAACAGCGGGAGTGTCTTCCTTGATTGCCAATAAATATTCTAACTTCATATGATGTCTCCTCGATGTCGTTGGTTTCTCTGCGCCGAACATAATCTTTGATGTCCAAAGAAGGTTGTAGTGAACATTTCCGAACTCGAGTGTGTCCATTGTTACGAGATCTGATATTCTCGCTTTACTAAGCTATGAATGTGCTTTCAGTTACCTATTTCCTAGAGAGAGTATATATCATATTTCATAGCAACAGCCTATCAATTCATGATCTTCCATCTACTATTCAAGAAAGTCGCTGTATTATACATGAGATCCGGCCTTTTAACTGTTAGGCGCCTAAGAAGGCCGGCCCCACGCTACGCGGCCCCGAATTTAGAAATGGGAATTAGCGGGTAACAGTGGGAACGACATCATGAAATCTCGCAACCATCCCAAATGATCCTCACAAGCCCATGCCATTTGGCTCGAAGTACCGAATCGATCTTCAAGAGGAATCACCTGGTTTCGAATACGATCTCGCAAATCGGTCGTCCGCCCGCGCCAGCATTACACGGCTATCACACCAAGATGGATTACTCATCGATTCAGACACCGGCAGCTTGCTATGCGGATTTCTGTCTAATCCCAGTCGGAACTGGGAGTGTTTCCGTTGCGAAAGAGGTCGCCGAGGTGCAGAAGCTCCTCAAGGCCAGTGGATTAACATATACCATGCACTCTGCAGGTACAACTGTAGAAGGAAGCTGGGACGAAGTTTTCAAGGTCATCGGTCAGGCTCATGCACTCGTACACCAGACCGGCTGTGTACGGGTTCAAAGCTCCATGCGTGTCGGTACTAGGTATGCTGAATACGGTCTTTCTTGAGAAATTCACATCTACTCACATTCGCGCAGGACCGACAAGAAGCAGACGGCAGCGGACAAGGTCAAGAGAGTAGAAGGCTTACTGGCAGGCAATGAGTAAAGGAGTGGGAAAGAGCCATAGACTTAATAATGAGCTTCGCCATGAAGATGCTCAATACAATGCGATATTTCTACATTTTATCCAACTATATTAGACACTTTTGATCATCTACTATTCTGTGATCTGGACAGGTCACAACAAAGCAGGTTCTCCGGTATATTCAACTATGCACGAGTTGTTTGCTTCTTCATCGACTTGCGCATCTCCTTCTCACGCTCCTTCTCCAGGTACTTCTTCTGGCCCTTAGCATCAAGAGCACTGAGCTCTTGGTCACGCTTGAGCTTCCTGGCTTTTTCCTTCTCAAGTGCTCGTTCTTCGGTCTTCTCTTCCTTATCTGCCTTTTGGATCTCTTTGACAGTTGCGTCTCGGACGGTCTTGACCTTGCGCATGACTTCAGGGCGGAAGTGGGCTTCCTTGACCAGAGCATCAGACAATCGGATGAAGTACTTGAAGATCGGGAGGAGCTTCTCGTAGTTGTTGTCGGAGGGAAGTCGGTACTTCAGGAAGATTCGCTTGCGCGGGGCCGTCTCATCGAGCCTATATCGTACGTGGATTAGTTTGATTGGACAATACCGTTCAGTAGGTTCTCGTAACTTACGTCTTAGGCTTATCAACGGGCTGGTCCGTAACAATCAAGTAATCCAACAGGTCACCAGCGGCCTTCGCAGCCTCAGCAAGCTCAGAAGTCAGGAGCGCCTCGGTGATCTCTGCGCTCTCTGTCATCACAGTCAACCAGTTGGGAAGCTTGGCGTTATCCTTGGTGAAGGTAATTGAGAGATCAAATCGATCATCACGAATCTGCTTCATTTGCTCCTTGTTGACAATGGCCCAAACGAACCCGTCATAGGCGCTCTTAGAGTCCTTGGAACGGAGCTCCGCAGCCCCCGGGAGTCCTGGCACAGTCAGAGCCTCTTTTCCATCGAAAGGATAGATAACGGCCTCCAATTTGTCTTCAGGGGCCGGGAAGCTGTCGAAGAATAAGCCGAGCCCGGCCTCGACAAGAGTCACGATCGGGTTGAAGCGGCGGATAAGTGTAAGCTTAGCATCCAGGAACGCGATGTTCTGTCGGCCGGTCGCATATGTCGCGAACTCGAACAAAGACTTCTCCTTGAGTGCCCTCTCGGCGTTGGCCTCGTTTGACTCGGCGAGATCCTTCAGAAGCGCATCGCTCTCCTTGTCGGACGAGATAGACGGAATGCCACTGAAGCCAACCAGGGCAAACTCCGAGGCAAGAACTCCAGCGTTAGCTTTCACCCATTTGCGGGCTTTGCTGCGGTTCAATCTAGCGCCAACAAGGTGCAACGTCAGGATGACAACGATGGCAGTCAGAATGAAACCTTCCAATTTGAAATCATTCAACGTGTATCGCTCATCGAGCCTGTACCATTTGGTATACGGTCGACCCGTAGCCGCTGGGGCGTTGAAGCCGAGGCCGCCTCCTCCTTGGACACTGGGAGAAATTGGCTCAGGAGATGGAGCACCTGCAAAATCGGCGAAGTCTGCTCAAGTAGCCACGAGGGCACGTCATCAGCCCAAGCTCCAACATGGTCGCAAAGCAATCATTGATGCGCCAATTGCACTTACCAGAGTCCGCAGAGGGGACTGCAGTCGCAGACGACTTGCTGCCTCCAAAGAGATTGTTGAGCACGTTTGCCATGGCTGCTGTTCCTTATGCTGTCCACAGCAGGCTGCAAGTGTGTCGCAAGAGGTTAACTTTACCAGGTTCGAGCTTTCGAAATTGGGGCTTTCTCCAACAGCTTTCATGGTCCGTGCCCAGCCCCGGACCCACTTTGTTCACGTGCTCAACTGTAAGTCATCAGGAAGTGGGGCAGTCATGCGTCTGGCGAACCAGTGGCTGCTCAGGTAAGCAGTTGCCCAGTCAACAGGATTTGAGGCTCGAAAGTCAACATGGACGACCTGCGATGGCTTGGTGAACCTCCCAAACTGAAGATATACTACGGCAAAGATTGACGAGCATACGACGCATCACCAGACCTTCAATCCATGGGTAATGTCTCTGTTATAGCACAATGTCTCGGGCTTCATCAGTCAGGACGTATGGCAAAAAGACAACGAAGGCACGGGCTCGACGGCTCCTGGAGGAGATACCCGTGAACATAGCCAATACACATTTCGATGATGATCCAATGAGTAGCCTGGCCAACAAATTCAGTACAATACGCATTGACGATCAACAAGAAGAGAGGAATAAGGAACCAGACGTGGTGTCATCTTGCACAATACCAACCATTGAGCAATCCCAAAAGAAGGATGATCACGAAGAGCCGAATCACGAATCAGCGCAATATATTCAGGGGGACCGAAGAGAACCAAAAGGGCTCCGAGTGCTCAGTTGGTTGGATGTATGTCCGATTGGGGACCGAATTGAGAAGATCGCAGAGGCATCTTATGCAGAAGTCTATCGCATTACAAATGAGCGAGGAACGAGTATCATCAAAGTCATTCGCCTGGATTCGCCAATCAAGCCCAAGACAAAGGCCCAGATTAAATCAGGTCTCGTTGATGAAGAACCACACTGCGAAGATGATCTTATAGGCGAGCTGAAGATTTCTGAATGGCTGGCCGACATTCCTGGATTTGTAGTATACAAGGAGCGGTACCTCATTCAGGGGAAAACCACTCCAGCGCTTCTTGAAACCCATCAATCCTTCCACAAGAAAATGAAGCGACAGGATCCCGACCGCATTCAATTCTACCCGTCGCCAAGTCGATACCTTGACGACACCAAGTTTCTTGTCGTTGAATTAGGAGATGCTGGCATCCCTCTGGAAGATGTTGCGTTACAATCGACTGATCACTTGTGGGATATATTCTTGAATGTAGCTGTAGCCCTGGCAAGGGCTGAGGATCAGATCAATTTCGAGGTAAGTTCTATGCTGATAATCACTCAGATGATAGTTACTTATTGTCAACAGCATCGTGATCTGCACGAAGGTAATTTATGCATCCGGCAGGTTGCGCCACCGAGGCAGAGAGCGAAAAGTAGCTCAGCATGCCAATTTGGCTACTCTGGGTTGGACATCACAATCCTAGACTACGGACTTTCTCGAGCTCAAGATCTCGTTCAGGATGAAGAAGACAAGCCAATCGCATTCGACCTGGAAAAGGACCTCAGTCTCTTCACAAGCAATCATGCAGCGCAATGCAAGGTGTACAGGCAGATGAGGTCTTTCCTTCTCACGGGCGACCGCATTCAACTGCCCCCAGACCAGCACAATAAACCGTATGAAATTGGCATCAACGGTCGAATTTCATGGGAGCAATACAATCCGTACACAAACGTACTGTGGCTTGCTTATCTCTATCAGTACCTCACGAAATATTTCGGGGGAGACAAGGCGGACCTGATGAGATTCAAAAAGTTGACAAAAGAGATGTGGACACACCTGAACCCTGAGGCGCCGCCTGAGATTCTGTCTTTTTCCAGCGCTTTTGATATAGTCCGATTCGCTGTTGATGCTGGGTGGATCACCGAGCATCAACTCATGGGAGATAAGAGCGAACTACAGGATGCAGATTGTGACGAAAGCTGCAATGCTAGCATTATTGAAGTACCGTTGAATGATGAAGAGCCACATCTAAGGAGGTCACCGCGGCGTCGGATACGGCCATAAAACTAATATTATTACCTCGATTCCTCTAAAGGCATCATTTAAGGAGACTTCATAGTTTATGACGAATGATCATGATAACGATTTTAGCGTAGCTCAAAGCAGCCGTTAATAGAGCTAGAAGATAGAAACATAATTGATGTAAGATAAGGAGTGGACAGCAGATACCCAGAATAACCGCGCCGAGTCAGACCCGATCAATGTCGCAATCCAGAAATGTCGTGGTACGTAGACAATCATAGACCAGACTCCAGGCGAGTACGCCGAGAGGTTGAATCAGGGGTAATAGAGCCCCTGTCCAGCCACCGACAGTACTATTGGCTCGGGGATATGCCGCCAACGGTCTGTCCCGCGTGGTGGCTGTCCAGTGTAGCCGCCTACAACCAGGCTGCAGACAAACCCAGCACCTTGGAACTAATTAGAATAGAATTCTACTCTGGATTCGGTACACCAGGTTTTCCTCAAAAGGCGAGACTCCGTCACACCCGGAATTCAGAGCAAACCCATTGAGTCTTGTCAGACTGAGCAGGGTGCTGCAAAGAACGGCTATTGGAGGTGTTACCGACGCCAAGTACGTGACAGTGAAAGCATGCAGCTTGTTCACCGTCAAACCTTGGCATAATGGCCTCATTCTGATGACTCTCTACATTCTAGAACTTTCAAACACCTAAAATAGATCATAAACTGAAGGTTCCGCTCTCTTGAACATTCGACTGCGGATTTAGAGATATATGCCAAGCTCGAGGAATTGTTGAGCAGACCATCTTGACTTCTACGACTCTCCACACCATCAACGTCAATTTTACAGTCGTAGGATGCAAGCCCCTCTGACATTAAGCGTTCTTATATCCGATAAAGGTAATCTCAGGCTCTCAAAAGGAAATTCTCGGCCTCGTCGGCTATGCGATCCGTAATTGCGGACAAGAGAATCTGCGGTATAGCCCGGATCCACCGGGTCTCGTCATCAACGATTTTCGGGCAGTCCCCGGCGCAATTCGATCTTGAATCCCCAGAGATCTTGGCGGCAGATCTTCTCCCCACACCTATTCGACTCATGAAATCAAATCACTGCTATTTGAATTATCTAGACTCTCAGGATAATGTATTGGCACAATTGATGAAATTGGCAATTGAGCTTGCGTGTTCACAAGGTGCAACTATTTTAGAAGACGACTGGATCTTGGCGGCGTGACGGAGACATACAGCTGCAGGGTAAAAGTGATCTGCACTGCATATTATTTGCTCAGGGCTTCTGATGTAACTCGATCATCCCTATTGCCGAGCTGTGGGTGGATGACAATGTAAGCTTCGTCCAATCCTCTTTCATGTTTAACAAATGCGCCGAGTGCGGTGGACGAAGAGCTCTTGGATGCCCAAGCCAAGTCCGAACCTAGTTCATTTAGGAACCTCTTGGTCAACCCCCCCCCCCACGACCCGGTTACAATCGCAGCAATCGAGGACGGTCTGCTTGCTGGCCTAATTGTTTACCGTAAGCCTCAGGCTCTGTTATGTTAGCAATCCGCAGTCACTGTCGCACAACATGAACCTGAACAAAGCCGACTGGCTTGGATGTCTTTTTGTTTCACAGGTAAGCTTATGACATCGCACAGCTACACTTATTAGGCGAACAAGTCCAGACCAGATTTCCTTCTGAATTGGAACAGGAAGCGTAACTTCTTACTGAGGCGTCTGATGACGAGCTTCACCGACTCAAAGCTAATGCTCCGTCAATCCTTTGCAGAGGTATCCAACAGGCTATTTTGACTAGGCCAAGCTGATCACATTGACTCAAGGAAAGCATTTGCTCGCCACACGGAAGTCGTCCGTTATATGGATCCCTTCACGTCTGCCAAGACCCATTTCGGTCTGTGTTTTCGGCAGTCGCGCAAGACTACAAACACGAATTTCCTTTCTGAACATTGTCTGGGGCTCATTGTCCCAGTCTTTGTCAAAAGCAAAATACTCTCGGTATATTACCTGAAGAGAGCAAAATTTTGATAGGTGTATGAGTACTTGTCTTGCCAGGGTATACAAGAACGTGTTTGTATAGCTATGGATCACCTGCAGTGTCGCAAACAAATGCATGCTTTCCATAAGTGCCGTTCGGTATACCCACATGCCAGGGGTTCTTCACCATCCCCGGTCTCTTCGAAATCGATACTCCCTTGGCATACCTATCTAAACCTTGACTTTGGATCCACTCCGAGCTTCGAAGACGCAATCGGGGCTCGTGAGGAGAACCTGGTCAGACATTGGTCCTAGTTAAATGTGATGGGGCATCGTTGCTAAAAACAGTGCTCAGGTTGCGGCACAAGTGATCTGGTTGCATGTTGATTGCTCTCTCAAGTCCAAATCTTACCACCAGCCAGTAGTGTCGCGCTTGTATCAGCAGACAACTCGTGCGAATATGCAAGTACGCTCACGTAGTTCGTGTGACCGTGCTCCCATAGCTTGGTCTAGTTGACCAAGTCTATGACATACTTTTGCCTTCCTGTAAGACTCAACTATAAGTAGTAGGTTGACGACGCCCCGTGAGCGATGTTTCTTGCTCTCCACTCGTAAGACCTAGCAAGGCTTTGTGGTCATCTTGACTCTGCTGTCGTCGCATCTTCTTGTAATTCACCGTGTGCTTCAACATCTACATCATGCGCTCTCTTTCCCTTCTCACTCTAGGGACTTTTGTGAGACTCGTCATCTCGCAATGCCCGTTCGCTGACCCGGCTGCTCTCCGAGCTCGGGGGCAAAATACTGGTGCTATCCCTACACAAGAGTTCAATGAGCAGTTCGAGATAGATGATAGTGATGTCTACCTGACTTCTGACGTCGGGGGCCCTATTGGAGATCAGTTCAGTCTGAGAGCAGGGGAAAGAGGATCGACATTACTCGAAGACTTCATCTTCAGACAGAAGATAACTCACTTCGATCATGAGCGTGTGCCTGAGCGTGCTGTCCACGCCAGAGGCGCCGGAGCTTATGGTACCTTCACAAGCTATGGTGACTTCAGCAACATCACTGCTGCATCGTTCCTCAACTCTCCCGGAAAACAAACTCCAGCGTTCGTTCGTTTCTCCACTGTTGCGGGATCCAGAGGCAGCCCAGATACAGCCAGAGATGTCCATGGTTTCGCCACAAGATTATATACCGATGAAGGCAACTTCGACATTGTGGGCAATAACATACCTGTCTTCTTTATTCAGGACGCCATTCGCTTCCCAGACCTTATACATTCGGTGAAACCCAGCCCGGATAATGAAATTCCTCAAGCCGCCACAGCGCACGACTCGGCATGGGATTTTTTTAGTTCACAGCCCAGCACCCTTCACACTCTGTTCTGGGCTATGTCTGGTCATGGGATTGTTCGTAGCTACCGCCATATGGACGGCTTTGGTGTGCACACATACCGCTTCGTGACAGATGACGGATCCTCCAAGTTCGTCAAGTTTCATTGGAAGACAAAGCAGGGCAAAGCAAGTCTAGTGTGGGAAGAAGCGCAAGTTCTATCTGGCAAGAATGCCGACTTTCACCGGTCAGATCTCTGGAATGCCATCGAGTCTGGAAATGGCCCTGAATGGGAGCTAGCTGTCCAGATCGTGGATGAAGACGAAGCACTAGCTTTTGGTTTCGATCTCCTCGATCCTACAAAGATCATTCCCGAGGAGCTTGCTCCTCTCCATGCCATTGGTCTCCTGAAGCTGGATGAAAATCCTACGAATTATTTTGCCGAGACAGAACAAATTATGGTAAGCCAATATGTTTCGTGTAAGAAAAACTACTAACAATGACGCAGTTCCAACCCGGTCACATTGTCCGAGGTATCGACTTCACAGAAGATCCTTTGCTCCAAGGTCGGATCTTCTCGTACCTGGATACGCAGATTAATAGACACGGCGGGCCAAACTTTGAGCAGCTTCCGGTCAACCGTCCTCGAGTCCCTTTCCATAATAACAACCGAGATGGGGCTGGTCAAAACCTGATCCACAAGAATATCTTTCCTTGTAAGTCATTCTCTAAGTCTCAGCTTCTGAGTCCCCGTGCTGACAAACTCAGATTCACCTAACACCCTGAACGGTGGTTTCCCAGCTCAGGCGGACCAGGCAAATGGAAGAGGTTTCTTCACTGCTCCGCGGCGCCAAGCGAGCGGCAATCTCGTCAGAGCCCTTCCCGGATCGTTTGATGACCACTGGTCCCAGCCACGACTGTTCTACAACTCTCTGACACCGGTAGAGCAACAGTTCTTGATCAACGCGATCCGTTTCGAGACTAGCCACCTCAAGTCTGCTCAGGTGAAAGAGAATGTTCTTACTCAACTCAACAGGGTCAGTCATGAGATTGCCGTTCGCGTCGCTGATGCTTTGGCTCTGACGGCTCCCGCCCCTGATCCGACTTACTATCATGATAACAAGACAGCATTCGTCTCAATTGTGAACAACACTCTGCCGACGGTCGCAACATTGCAGGTTGGCATCCTCGCTACAACCAAGTCGCCCTCGTCCATATCAGATGCTGCCGCTCTGAAGGCTCGGTTCGGTAACGATGGCGTCGAAGTTACTGTAATTGGTGAGACCTTGATCGACGGGATTGACCAGACTTATTCTGCAGCTGATGCCACATCCTTCGATGGCATCGTCGTAGCAGCTGGTGCAGAAGAGCTATTCAAGGCAGGGTCGGCTTCTACCTTATATCCTATTGGTCGTCCTAATCAAATTCTCCTCGACGGCTATCGCTGGGGCAAGCCTGTCGGCGCTTTAGGTTCGGCCACGGCGGCTCTTGGGTTGGTTGGGATTGGCGAGACTCCAGGAGTGTTTGCTAATAGCACCGATGTCGAGGGATTTGTGTCTGTTTTCGAGACGGGCCTGAAGACGTTCAAATTTATCGATCGCTTCCCACTTGACTCTTGAGACACAGGTTCAGCAAAGTAATTCATTGCCAACGATGGGCATTCAGGTGGCGGAGAATAGTCGTAATGTATGAGTTAATAGGGCCTAAAGACTCTTAAGAACGGCCTACATATGATAGACCGGTGAATCGGTGAGAAGAATCTCACGAGACTCGGGACCAATCTGTGATTCTAAATATTGCTATCTCTTGTATGCTCAGATCACAACGAATATGAAGCATGCAAAACATACTTGCATCGCATCAAGACTTTGTCACGTGTAAACGGTCGCATAATGGGCCGGTCTATTCCCTATTCTGTTTATAATTGGAAGTCGTACGTGTCTCCAGATATGAGCAGGTGTGTTGTTTCTCCAAGGTGAATCTACAGTAATAACTCAGCCTTGATTGCAAGGCTGAAGACGCCTCGTCCGGAGGTGTCCCTTTGTCCTGGCCAGCTGTACAACATGACAAGAGCGCATCGAGTAACAGACGATGGGCTATCGGATGCTGTCCCACGTTGAGCCTCGCTGGCATTGGATCGACGACAGCTGCAAAGGGCCGGGGCCGGGGCCACGCACCCCACCTAACCCAATCTTCCCGCTAAGTGTGGGGGCGGGTATGCCTGACGTATAGGGCGATTTTAGGCTTAAAAGCGCTGGCTAGGCGCCCAGTCCCGCTGCTGAGTGAATTAGCGTCGCCGCAACTGGACGACCGGAGTCCTCCGGGTTCCGCTGACTTACCACCGTTTCGGAACATCGCACCGTGACGCACCATCACCTTGTGACCCGCCAAAAAGCTCGCGACAGTACTCACAGCACGCGTCCGCTACGCCTGACACGGCGTTTATGACTTCACAGCACATTAGAGGCCATATTTAGCGTGCTTGGGGCTTGCGACGCCTTGTAAACTGCCGCACGTTCAGGCTTGGTGGTGGCGGTGGACGTCAGAGGATCTCGATTCGAAACCCACGACAACATAGAGGCATACGCTGGCGCTCGTCTTTGCCCCAAGGAGAGGGGCCTATATCAAGCTCACGTTCGCTGCTTGCTACCGAGAGACACGTTGATGCGCCCGAGATAACCACCCGAGCCCCAAAGAGCTGCCTCTGAAACTCCGCCGACAATGGACTCCATCAAAGGACTATTCAGGCCGGCTAAGCCAGAGCACCACGATCCGCTCGAATATGCTCCTCTTACGGAGGAGCCGCGGGAGCTCGAGGGTTCGACGGACCAGGAGGGCGAGACATTCGAGAGTGATGTTCCTTTCTCATGGTTTGAGTACTCTGTATTCGCCATAATAGGTGTTGCTATGCTTTGGGCTTGGTATGCCATTCATCCTCTTAACGAGACAAAGTAACCATTTGCTGATGACTTTTCCAGGAACATGTTCCTTGCAGCCGCTCCTTATTTCCACAGTCGATTTATTGCGGATGACTGGATACGCGAGAACTTCCAGTCCGCGATCTTATCCGTCTCGACCTTTTCCAATCTCGCTGCAATGCTCATTGTCACAAACATACAACGATCTGCCAACTACCCTTGGCGGATAAATACTGCGCTCGTTCTGAACACAACAGTCTTCACCCTCTTGACCATCTCGACAAGTTGGTTCTTGGATGTGTCTCCAGGGTTGTACCTTGCTTTCCTCCTGCTTATGGTCGGGTGCTCCGCTTGTGCAACTGGGCTCTTTCAGAACGGAGCCTTCGCTTTCGCTGCTAGCTTCGGACGACCGGAGTACACACAAGCCATTATGGCCGGCCAGGGTGTCGCCGGTATTCTGCCGCCGCTTGCACAAATGATATCGGTGCTCATCGTCCCGGACGGACCACCACCGCCGCCGCCGCCGCCTGGCCAAGGACCCGAGAAGCAGGATATCCCGGTAGGCACCTCGGCCTTCATCTACTTCCTCACGGCGGTAGCCGTCTCCGCCACCGCCCTGGTCTTCTTCGTCCCGCTAGTCCGGCGGCACAACCACATCATCGAGAACCGCATGGTGTACGAGCACATGGAGAGCAGCGTGCACAGCATCCACGAGGCCGAGCAGCTGCACCGGCGGCAGGTCAGCCTGTGGGCGCTGTTCCGCAAGCTGCACTGGCTGGCGGCGGCCGTGTTCATGTGCTTCGTGGTGGCCATGTTCTTCCCCGTCTTCACGGGCAAGATCTTCAGCGTCCGCGGGCCCGGCGCCGGCCGCCTCTTCCAGCCGCCCGCGTTCATCCCGCTCGGCTTCTTCTTCTGGAACCTGGGCGACCTGGCCGGCCGCATGTCCACCATGCTGCCGTTCGGCACCACGCACCGCCCCGTGCTGCTCTTCGCCTTCAGCATCGCCCGGCTGATGTTCCTGCCGCTGTACCTGCTGTGCAACATCCGCGGCCAGGGGGCGGTCGTCAACAGTGATCTGTTCTACCTGCTTCTGGTGCAGTTCCCCTACGGACTGACCAACGGCTGGCTGGGCACGAGCACGATGATGGCAGCCGGCGAGTGGGTCGACGAAGGGGAGCGGGAGGTGACTGGCGGTTTTATGGGGCTTTGCCTCGTGTCAGGCCTCACTGTAGGCAGTTTGCTCAGCTTCTCGGCTGCTGGTATCTAAGCACACGGTTTTGGATAGACAAACGACTGTTGGCGTTTGGAGACTCAGGTTTCATATAGCATATTATACTAAAAGGGCAACTGGGATCCGGGCCTTCCCAGTAAGGACAGCATTCACAATAGGCGTTACACAAATGTATACATTTTTGGTTGAGCTTGCTTTAGACGTCTCCCTGTTGTAACTGTAACAATAGTCTTCCTGAAAGGAACCACAGGGTGGCATGTCCATAATTTTCTTTGTGTTGCGAATATCTCATGACAGCTATCCTCGTATCATACAGTAATCTCCATAGTCATACAACCCAACGCCAAGCATGTCTACCTCCATTTTAATAACCATGTCAATTCGTGCCATAGATGCCTCCAATCCTCGGTGGTATAAGCATGCAATCAGTCTCCTGAAGTGGCGTTTCCTTGGCTTCGTAGAAGCCGCCATCGATCAGGTTCTGCTCCATGGCGCGCCAGTAGTCTAGTTTGATATCCCAGTTCTTCTTGTCAAGATCACCGAGCTTCGCAGTGACTCCCCGACCTGGCTCTTTGGGTATCTTGAGATACACCGTGCAGTCTCGCAAGGTCATTGCCACTTGGAAAGCGGCATCGTGGGCCGAGACGTTTAACGGGCCGCCTGGATCGAGCCGCACCTGGTTGGCCCGAAGGATTTGCAAGACATTCTCTGCACCGAGCCACTGGTAGCAATCCTTAGTCTGCGACAGTCCTGGTGCAAAGGAGGTTGGCAAGTCAAAATATCGTAACACTCTGACTGACTGCTCCGTGGTCGATGCGAGGAAGTTGAGTGGGCAGAAGATAGGTTTTCTTTTGCCTTTCTCGACATTCCGCAACGCTTCTCTGGCGCAGTTTCGACACCGTATTGCTGTCTCGGGGGCATTTGGGGATTGTGCCAACCATTTCGGTTTGAACTCCCGTATTATATCTCCATCTCCCGCTATTGCGCCACGTTAGTTAGGTTGACGAACGGATTTAATGGACCAGGCCAACACATACTCGACCTCATGTCGTCCACAAGCATGCCATAAGTGACATCTTCAACCTGCGAGCCAACAAAGTCGTCTCTACGCTGCGACTCTCGCTCATGCAGAATTTCATTCAGCCGTGCAACAAAGAACCCATTATCCTCGGGCATCCGCACGAGAGACTGATGTACCAAATCTCCTGGCCGGAAAAGGGGCTTGATTTGCGATTCCCAGAAAGCCTGCTGTTCAGCATACGGGAAGGTGCCCTTGCCAGCCTTGGGGACTCGCAGGAGCTTGTCCTGAAAGGCATTGGCGAGGCTCGTGTCAGTGGTAGGCGGTAGCTTGATAGCAAAGACGACATTCGCGGCGCCTTCCCCAACATATACGGCCTCCGCATCTTGCGGTAGCTGGGGTGGACGAGGCTGCACGTGCTCTGCCACCCCTGAGGCAATACCCATCGTACTCATACCTAATCAGGTATTGAGAGAGTATGTCGCCCGGAGCAGATCGGGGAGACTGTGCTTTTGGAGACGCTAGCTGCAGGTGGTGCGGGTTGGACCTGCTGGCCAATGCGAAGATGTGGAGAAAAGGGGACAGGCGAATTAGTTCCTCCAACAGTACACCACAGATGATTCAAGGAAGAAAGAGCACGCGATAGAGAGTGCGTTGCGTAGTGAAGATGGCTGTGGCGGCGACTGTTAATTGTCCTTTGTATTTAATTGCCATTTCGGTGAGACGGCCGTGAGGTTTGAAGCGAAACTCGATGACACCTCGATGTTCTCTTGTTGGAGATTCAATCTCTCATCTAGGCAACTGAAGGCAACCGCGACCGATCCAGTACCTAGGTATGCCTGGATATTGAAACAATAAGAGGAAGGCGCTCCTCACTTGAGGCGCTCAAAGGTAACACAGGGTTTCCAGGGAAGGCGCCAGTGGTGGTAACTTGCATGAGACGGACGAAAATTGACATTGGCATCTACCAACTGCCAACGACAACCGGGCTGGGCCTACTGCATAAGAGGTAAGCCCACCTACAATTAGGACCAGTCAGTCATTCATTTGCTGGTGCTATCTCACCGAGCTAAGGAGCCTTCAAACCGGCTACAGTTAGGTAGTTAATTGCAGCAAAATCTTGTTACTGCGCCTGACTGTGTCCACTAGTAGGTATCGGCTCGTGATAGCCGTTTCTTTGTGCTCCAAGCAAGGAGTTTCTTCCGTGGACAATCATGGAGGGAGCCTTGTACCCTTGGCTAAACTTCTCATGAAAGGCAGACTTGCGATGGATGAATGATTAAGTCAGCTTGCTAGGTAACGTTAGTGCTAACTGGGTATAGGCAGCCCGCAGCACCTCGGCCTCTGTCATCTCAAAGACTGTGATTGGATTTTGGAGCGATAGTTTCCCAAAGGAGAAGAAGCAGACCACCTGTGCATCGAGGATTGCCTCATTGATGGATGATCCGGATCAGCTAGAAACAGAGAGGTGCCTTTTCCACAGGCTGGCGGGATTGTCCTTGTCCCCGACCACAGCGACCAGCCCGACCGGGACGCTGACGGTCCCTAGAAATTATCTCGACTGCGAATGGTTCCTGCGCCGGGTGGCCCCATCTTCCGAGGGCCATCGAACCACAGGCGAAGACTCCGCCGACTTAGAATCATGTCTGGATCCTTTCCCCGCACTGCCATTGCCCCATGCCCGGACACTCCCTACGCAGTACTGGTATTTGCCCGGCTGGTGCATCTCAATCTCACGCGACATCAGGTATAAGAAAAATCGATATACATCTGGGGTCTGTCCATGTGTCTCTGCAGTCTATTATCTCTGAAATACTGCCCCAATTTCATACGGCTACGAAAACAATTATTCGCCTCATAGCAACCAACCCACGAGAACATTGTCACTTGACTTCTGTCTCATCCATTCCTAAGGCCTTGTGTGTGTGTGCGTGCGCGTGTGTGTGCTTGTGTGGGGCGTGGGATTAACAGCACGGCGAGGCAGCTAAATTGATAGCGAGGCACACACGGGCCACTGGGGTACGGGTGCTGCAGCCAAAACGCGCAGTAGGAAAATTCTGAGAAAAACTCGCACTGACCAGGCTCACTGCACTGAGGAGTCCTTTATCCACTCAGTGCTGCACCATAACAAAAAAAAGCCGGAAACACCACCTGCAAATATAGCGTCATCCCTTTCCAAAGAGCTCTCTTAGCCGACTCTTCCTCACCCACCTCACGACCACGACCATCGCCCAGTCGAGTCAACCCGATCATTATCGAGCGTCGCTGCTATCAGTATACACACGGCAGATAGCTCATAACCCGGTTTCCGATCATCCTCGCTCTCTATCCCGCGACGGCGGCCTTATCAAGAAGCACCTCCCTTTGCGATGCGGATATAACGCCATCTCAACATGGCCTTCAACTTCAACTGGTCGCCGCTCACGGCCGACGCGGACTTTTACAAGCGCGCAAGAGACCTGCTGACGGCGGCCCTCAACAAGTCACCCAAGCCGCCCATCATCGTCGATGACATCCTCGTCACCGAGTTCAACCTGGGCTCCGTGCCCCCGGACCTCGAGATCCTTGAGATAGGAGACCTCGCAGAGGATCGGTTCCGAGGCATTTTCAAAATGTGCTACAGCGGTGATGCGTTCCTCACGCTACGGACAAGAGTTCAAGTAGGTGACGATTTCCTTGCATGTTCATGCTTTCGATATTGGGTGTTCGCCCCGTTGGCTCCATTTGCGCCTATGGCTTCCGAAGTCCGAAAGAAACTGCAACACCATCGAACATGGAACTTGAGACAATATTTCACAAAGATCGCAGCCTATGACCTGGGAGGGCGATACCAGTGTATAGCTCCTTTTTATTGCGCTGGGGTCGAGAGAGATCTTGTTCTGCAAGCTCTTTCCATCCATCACACAAGTACCAATCTCATCGCGGCATGACCGTCTAGACAGCCAGCTTCTCCCACCCCTTCTTCCCGTCACTCCAGACATCCTGCTGTATTCTTTCAACTTTGTTTGGCAGATTCAGGGGATTCCATAATTTCCCCACATCTTGCATTGATTTCGAGATTGCCTTACCAGGGTGGCGCGTTCTGTTTGGCAAACAATGTACGTGCGTCATAACAATGCTAATATATCAACAATTATAGGCAAACCCCTTGAACACATACCTCGACTCCAAGCCGAGCTTCACATCTCCACAACCGCTAGCAGCAGCGTCAGGACTAACTATTCCGCTTTCGCTTACGTTGTCCGAGATAAAATTATCAGCATTTATCATACTGGTATTCTCTAAGCAAAAGGGTCTGACTATCGTATTTCGAAATGACCCGCTCGAATCGCTCAAGGTCTCGTCGACCTTTGACTCGATCCCTTTCGTCCGGGATTACCTGCAGAGAACGATCGAAGGGAAATTGCGGGATCTAATGATGGATGAGCTTCCTGCAATCATCCATCGTCTGTCTTTGCAGCTATGGTGCCCTGATCAGCTACCAAAGCAAGAAGATGAGGCCCAGAAGGAGACCGACGAACCTGCTGTAGATCCCCTTGCCAGCCCGCCACAGGACGCAGTCGATGCTCAGGGCAACCTGCTTGATTCCAGCGAGATCTCGAATTTGTCTTTGGACGGAAGCGCCGAAGTCAAGCACCTGTTCTCTCAGAAGAACCTGATCCGTCTAGCGAGCTTGAACAACTCTCACCGCACCCTGTCTCTCTTCACTCCTGGTATTCGCGATGTCGTCTTCCGAGCATGGGCCGGCTCAACGGAGAGACACGAGACGGGTAGCACTTCTCCATTAGCTACTCCGAGCTTGGCGAGATCGCAATCCTTCCAGGGATCCACCACGTATTCTTTCTCGGACACTGGCAGCATGGACCATGGCCATCTACCATCAAGACCATCGCTGGTTAGTTTGAACTCTGCCACAACCGGCCTTTCACTTGGTGCAGGCAGACATTCCCGATCGCACTCAAGTCGCAAGAAGAAGACCAGAGTCGTGAATTTGAGGAAGAATAAGACAGAAAGCGCTCCGGTTAGCGATGTAGATGAGACGGAGACGGTCTCTGACTCTACTTCAATACGAGGACCGATGTCAGAGCCGATCATGCCAGCCTCCATCCCTGAGGAACCGGAAGAGGAAGTGCCTGTGCCTCCCACACCTAGCAAGGTTCGGTTTAAGGCAGCAGGCGAGCGGCCCAGCATGCCGCCTCGATCTCCATTGACTTCCGAAGTTTACAACGCTCCTTCGGCTCTCTTCACCTCTGCGAAATCCGAGACTCCGGCTGAGGCTCCAGTTGTCGCAAGCCGCCCTCAAGAGAAGTCAGAGAAAGCATCCGAGAAAATGCCGATGCACTTCGAATCGCGACGAGGTCCTTCTTCGGAGACATCCTCCGTTATTCTCGAGCAAGCCTGGATCATGAAGATGGCTGGCGAGATTGCTCGACGTGTGTATGATGAGAAGAGGAGAAACCCAGGCCTCTGGGATGAGCGGGAGGACAGCCCTCCTCCAGCATATGAGGCACGATAGACTTGTACATACTAACCACCACAAACTCTCCTATGTCCATACGGAGCGTGGCATCATTTCTGGCGTTGGACGGGCAATTACGTTGACATTACACATAATCAGTAATGTCTCATGGCCTTTTGATTTTGCATGGCGTTTGGGAATCCCATCGTGGTAGAAAAGGGTCTGCTTTCCACTTTGGGTCATTCACACATGGCGGCTGCGGAGACGCGAGAAGCGAAGCATTTCTCGTGAGCGCCGCACATACATACTATCGCTTCTTGTACAGCACAGACATTTCCTTTGTTCTCAGACATCCCTCGATGGGAGTTGAAAGAGGAAGAAAGGAGTGCGCGAGACCGAGGCTGTCGGTCTATATATGAGAAGGTATATGTAAAGTCCTGCTGGCATTGCTGGCCAAACTAGGGAAGCTCTTTAGAGAATCAACTCCCATCTCTACTCGAAAACCGTTGTTGACTCTTGCTGCTCTTGAAGATTGATTGTACGAAGTTTGTCATTGCTATGTCACTAGCGGTTTTGGTCATCCTGTAGCCGGTTCCTTTCCCTGATATCGTACCTGTCTGCCCTTGACTCCAAACTCCAAGCCTCTGAAAAGATCATGCTACAAGGGTACAAAAATATGTACGAGTGAAGGGGACATGCCCCCTCGACTACTTTCAGGCAGCCGTCTCGGCTTCCTTCTTTAGACTCGCGAGTCTCTCCTCCTTGCTCTTGAGCTCCTCGGTCATCTTCTTCGACATCTCCTCCACCTTGACCTGCGCCTCCTTGAGCTTCTTGATCTCCAGCTCTTCCGTCTCGCGACTGAACGGCTGGCCGGGGCGCGTCGTCAGGGGGATCATCGCGCTGCGCTCCAGCACGCCGCCCTCGCTGCGTTTCGGCTGTGGCGGAGGCTGCTTCGCTCCCTTGGCCCCCTTTCCGCCCGCCTTGCCGCCGGCCTTCTGGTTCGCCGCGGCGCCCATCGTGCCGGGCGTGGCGCCGGAGGTCAGGATCTCGTAGAAGGAGTCGTAGGGCTCGTTGAACAGCTGCTCCTCGTACGTCCACGCGACGACCTCGTTGTTGAGCCTCATAGCCTCCTTCTCGGCGTCGTCCTTACCGTACGGGTGGAGCCTGAGGTGGTGATACAACGTCTGCGGCTTCTCACCCGACTCGGACACGTAGTAGAGCTTGAGCGTGATCTCGAACTCGCCCCAGCCCGTCTCGTTGACCGCGAAGGGCTTGCCTGCCTCGGCGTCGATCACTGGAAAACCCGTTAGTTTAGCAGAAACGGCCGTGCGCCTTCTAGAAGAAGGAAATTTGATGCGCGAGAGGGACGGCGTTGCGTGTACGTACTGCGGACATGGTTGGGAATCGACTCGTGCAGCTTGAACTGCACGCGCTTCAGCCAGTACGTGATGTCGGTGTCGTCGACACCCTTGACAAAGACCGTCCAGCTGTGCGTGTGGTCGTCCGGCACGCCTGCGGGCTTCGGGTTGAGCTTATCATCGAAGGGCCGCGCCGTCGTGCCGTAGATGAACGGCCGGAAGATCTGCAGGCCCTTGACGCGCTTGCCTGCGCCGCTGGGGGGAGCCATGCTGGTCGGTCGGGTCGGGTCGCTTCCACGATGCGCGTGGTAGGTGGACGTGTGTAGAGTGGAAAGTTTCGCGCCAGGCGCAAAGTTTCGACTTCTAGGTTGTCAGCCTTGCAGGAGGTGGGAAATTTGTAGGTGGGCGGGGCTGTTAAGGTTCGACACTGGATCGCCACTGCTATCGCGCTGCAAGACGCTATACCCTGCTAACTGACACGCATCCACAGGTGGGCTGGCAATTGATTTTAGTGGCTTCAGCCTTGCCGATGAACTGATGATTTCATCACTTTTGTAAGGGGAGCTTGAGCAGCAAGCTTGAGCTATGCTACGTCGACACGAAATCAGCGACCCCTCCGGCCAAGCTCTCTCGAATTCCTATGAGTTGATTTGACATTGAGACTGTAAACGCTCTTTTGGATCCATTTCCAAGCTATAAGCGAGTTCAAGCAGCTTTTGCCGGACATAGCTCAAGCTTATAAGCCGTGACGGTCCAAAATAAGATGTCTGCAGCAAAGAAGCTAGTTGTTTGTGGAGGGAATGGATTTTTGGGGTCGCGAATCTGTAGACAAGCCGTTGCCCGAGGCTGGGATGTCACATCAATAAGGTAATTATATCCCGAGCTCCTCTTGTCCTGCTGCCATCTGACCTTCATCGCAGCCGATCAGGCGAGCCAAAGTGGAACACGGTCACGTCTTCCTCGACACCTCCGCCATGGGCTCACAAAGTGACCTGGGAGCGCGCCGATATCTTCCAGCCTGCCGCCTGGGCTCCCCTTATCAAGGGCGCGGACTTTGTCGTTCACAGCATGGGCATCCTGCTCGAAGCAGACTACAAGGGTGTTCTGCAGGGCCGCGAGTCACCCATCTCGGGTCTTCAAAAGGCCTTCTCTCCAGCAAAAGGCCGCACGCCGAATCCGCTGGAGCGCAAGGAAGGCGAAGAGGTTCCCCAGCCTGAGTCTGCAAATCAGCTCACATATGAGTTGATGAACCGCGATAGCGCCATTCTTCTCGCAAAGGAAGCGGCAAAGGAGAATGTCAGCGCATACCTGTATGTGTCGGCACATGGAGGCGCCCCCGTTCTTCCCGCGAGGTATATCACGACAAAAAGGGAGGCAGAGAGCATCATCGCTTCAGAGTTCCCCAAGATCAGAGGTGTCTTCATTCGACCGCCATTCATGTACGATAGCTCGCGGCCATTGACGCTACCATTGGCCGCCGGCACTGCTATGGGGTCCTTGTTCAACGGACTGACAAGAGGCGTACTCGGCGGTTTCATGGGCACAGCGGGAGTGAAGCCCCTGAAAGCTGATCTCGTCGCTGAGGCTGCGGTAGAAGCTCTAGGCGATGAATCTGTCAGGGGTCCAGTGGAGGTTGCGGAACTCGAGGAACTGGCGAGCAAAGCGTGGCGGAAGACCATGCTCTAAAATGGTATCATGCGTATTGTATTTTACACTGAGCTATAGACTGTATCATAGCAAAACCCTCAGCTCTTCTATCATGATAGAGCTGCACTCTCAGAAGTGCGCCTGTAATAACACCTATCATATCATCGTGCCTCTCTCGAAACTGTCTCTTATCTCCGCCGTGTATTTGTTGTAGAACCTGTCAAGCTTCTGGTTGAACTGCTTGTTCTTCTCGTTGATGTATGTGACGTCGGCATCATCTCCATTCTTTGCCATCCGCTCCCGCCTCTTCTTCGCTGCCACCGCGTCTGCCTTCTTCATATCGTTGACCAAGCGATCGATGGCCTCCTTGTCGGGTTTGTTCTCCGCAAAAGATGTGCTATCCGCCGTTGAGTAAAATGTGCCATCCTTGTCAACAGCGATCATTTCTCCGTCCTCGGTTTCGACAATCTCTAGGCTTCCTTGCGCGGCCGCCTTTTCGATCGCAGCCAGCTTGTCTTTCGTGTATCGCTCCAAGTCCGGCGCCATATTCTTGAGCTGTCGCTTGTACACCTTCTGCGACTCGCGGCGGTAGTCCTGGAAGGCGTTGTCGTCGCGGTGCGCGTCCTTCTTCTTCATCCGCTTGTCCCACTTCTCGCTCTCGTCAACGGTCCAGTCCCACGCCCGCTTGCGCTCAAAGTCGCCACCGGCATCCTCAACATCCGCTTTGAGCAGCTTGTGCGACGCGATCGCGTGCTTACGGCGGATCGCAGTGAGCTGGTTGGGGTCGGTGGCTAGACGTTGCGCCTCATGCGTGACTTCTTTGTGGTTCTTCTCTGCCGATGTTTTCGCGCGGGCTTGTAGGGCTTTGAAGCGGGCCATACGCTCTTGGGCTCTGGCTGCCGCGTCATTCTCCGTAGATGATGATGCTGCGGTGGTTGTGTCCGCAGGCTCGGAGGCAGTCACTGTTGCATCGGCTTCCGGCTCGGGGTTGATTGTTTTTTCTGGTTCGGGTTCTGTTGGTGCAGGTTGATCTACTGTTGCAGCTTCGGCTTTCTCGGCTTCTTCTTCCTTTTTGGCAGACGCTCGGGTCTTTCTCTTCTTTGCTGGTGGCATCTTGAGTCTGAATGTGGGGAGACAAGTGGTGGATGACCTTCGTTGACTTGGTTGTTGTTAGCTAACAAAATAATGTTATCTACATCTTTGCAAAGAGGGTCGTTAGGACTGGGTCGTCATTGCACAGCCACATGTGGCTGGACCAAGCTAATTTCCCCAAATTTCCCCAGACACACCCTAGCAGCTCTCAACGTGGTCAATCAACCCCAGAACATCATCAGCTTTTTACAACTCTCGACGTTTTGGCAGACAACTTTATAAGAAGACACCCTTGTTATGTAACGCCCAAAGAAACCTCTGCCAAACGATCATGGGCAGTTTGAGTCTTTTTTACCGCTTGAGACACATGCACGAGGACAGGAGGCTTTATTAAGATGCAACGACTCGGCAGCCCGTGGAGACTACTAGGTCTTTCCCGTAAACCATCTTATGCGCAGATCAGATTTGCTGGGACTCGAGCATGGCGAAGGAGAAGGCAGCTCAGGCCTGGACAGCCTTTGCGAGAGTCTTATCCTATATTCGATTTCCCCGAACTGGTCTTGGACCTCGATGCTGAGAACAGTCCGCACGTTCGTCCAGTGAATGAAGCGGACTGGCAACGGGAGATTGACAAATATGCAGTCAACCCAGCTGTGGAGGCTGCAGCTGAACGTGTCCTTCAGTTCGAAAAAGAGAGCGATGAGGCTCGCAAGTTCATGATGTCGACTGCACATCAGCGTTTTAGCATGTGGCAGGTTTCTGACATGGATGTTTTATCGGTAGCTCTCGGGGGCTCGCCTCGCAATCAACCAGCATCGGATACGATATCGCCACAAGAAGAACAAAAACAGAAGGCTTTTCTCGACCAGCTTTTACGACAAAATGGTATCACAGATCGCATCATGTCACAGGACGACACGAAAGTCATCCGCTTCATGATGCATCGTCAGTCCCTCGCTCAGAAAGTGAATCCATTCTTCGACAACAATGACACCGAGATTGCCTCAATCAATGCTGAGGATGTGCAATTTCTTGAGTCTGTCCTGTCTCGCTGCGGATTCTATCAGATGCAACATCTCATTTCTCGGATAGCGCAGACAGAATCTGGATGTCAACTTTTGTCGCGATGCGGAGAGAAAATCTCCAAACTCTCTCACCAATTTCTGCGAGATGGCATGGAAGATGAAGTTTTAGTTTTTCTGAACAACTTGATTGGAAGCCTACAGTTCAAAAATGTCGACATTGGCGAAGCGCTGTGCTCAGCTGGGCTACGGACATCAATGATTGCTGCCCATGCACCTGCTGTGCTCCGCTACATCGGACTATCACATGAGTTAGGCTATCACACCCCCCCGTTTTCAGTTGCCGATCTCCAAACATCTCTTGAAAAGTTTTGCGATGCTTACTCTCGAAATCGAGAAGGTCTCGAAGGTGCAGGGTCGCGCCTGGAGTACCGCGCAGAACTCTTCACTGTGCTGACGGGCCGAAGTGTTGCTAGCTACGTGCCACAAGCGTCTTTTCGTGCGAGCATTGGTAGCACCATGGAGTTCATACGTGCCTACAACTCCTATATTGTGCTACTCGGAGAGTTAGGTGCCTTACGGATGCTTTGGCATGAATGGCACACATTGAAGACTATGAAAGGACAACTGGCCTTTGAACTTCGACATGGACCCAAGCACCAATTGTTCGCTAATGCGCTTGCCCACTGTGCGTCAAGTCTCCAAAGCCAGCGTATACCATTTGCTCAAGAGGATTATACCACCGTGACTGGTGACTACGCAGAAGATGCGGCTCTTGATCTACAATCCATCTATAACCAGAAGCTCCGCATGATAAGAGGCACATTGGCGGAGCCGCTTCCGTCGACATTCGAAAACACTGCCGCCATGGCAGAGCAGCTTCGAGAGCAAATCCGAAAGGTGTTTCGAGTGCCTAACATAGAAGATGCTATGCGTGACATCACCGCGTTGATGTCTACAACCGTGGCAGGAAAGTGACGATATCACAGCAGTGAAGCACTCCCTGAAAGCATTTCTCTTGCCATGCTTAGAAGTCGTATATATGTACATACAAAATTAAAGTCCTACCTTGGTGGTGACTTAAAGATCCTTATCCCGCGTGCTCAGGCATGGCTCTTAGAAAGATGATATCATAGCATGGTTTCTCCAACACGTTGCTTGTCGGCGCTCATCTAGACGCGATTGACTGCGATATTCGAAATTGTCCGGTTTAGGTAATTTCTCCGTCTCGGACTGGATAGGGACAATGAAGCGGACATAGCAGCACCCGTTTCTCCTTGTCATACCTGTCTGCAATGCAACAATGTCCGAGACTTCGCGACATTAAAATCATTCGGCGCGCTTTGACAAGCGGCTTTTTACGAAAGTACCCAGGAATGGTATCAATCATGCAAATCTCACATCAAGGCTTCCTCCCTTAAGCGTCGTCCCGTATCTTATAGGGGCAAATCTATGTCAGCTTTCGTATTACAACCCCGCACCCTTGCCAGATGGGAGGGATCTGCTCCCGGGTTACGAATATTGCATTTTAGACGAGTCATCACCTCGTTGTTCTTGGCCGACGCATTCTCATATTTCTAGTACCATCTGTAATTCCCTTAACCAGATGATATATCGAGACAGGATAGAATCCATTTAAGAGGAGCGGGAAACCCGTCCTACTGCCACTTACCGACATGCCGGCTCCTCTCCCATTCGTAACTCAGCCTTACGGATGACCGGGGTTTGGCTATGATCTGCAACCTGTCGGGGTAGCTATGCGTTGGCGACAGGAAGCTGAGGGCGACTTTGACGTCTGATTGGACAAAGACCGCGGCATACCTCTTGGTCTGTCCTTCACACCTCGTTGTAAGACCTCTGACTAGAGAACCCGGTTCAATACGATTTGTCCTGGCCCTGAGAGGAGGCAGCAATATGTGCGACCGCCCGTCGTTCGGCTAACTGCCGTCCTTCATCGCAATCCTATCAATGCTCCAGCCACAGGACCACCTGCATTTCCCTGCTTCGTCACGCGTTTTCAGCTCGTGCTCCAATCAGGGATTACTCTCCTACAGAACCCCAGTGTCATCTTTCTCTTGGGCAGGAAACAGCCTATTTCCCAATGATGGCTGCGTCGGTGAGTGCAGTGGTCGGCGACCCGAAGCCATAGGACGCGCAGCTGGGCCACCCAACTCAGCAGTTGTCCTCCAGGCACCTCGACTTCGCCTCCATCGACTGACAGATTGCAGTCATACTGCCTGGTCTTCTTTTCCTGTTGGTCTCATATATTCTGTTATTCTTGGTTGCCTCAGCTACTGTGAACTTTCTCATCTGGATCTGTGAGTCCGGCGCAACGTTGTCAGACTTGTGCAATTATGCCAAGCACCGACCGGCACCAGTCATGATGCGGTTCTCTCATGCCGTGCCGCTCTTGCTACGGCGCGGAAGAGGCGAGTTTGGTCGAGGACTCCCGCAATTCTCCTCCTTGTGTTCCGGCCTTTCGACCCTGATCGTGCTCCTGTTTCTTGTAAAGGAATCATCTCAGCAAAAGGATCCAATACAGAACTTCTGTAGGCGATTCGGTCACCAAACAGCTGTCATTGACCGCAAACTGTATATTGATGGAGGTTTGATCAACTGGAATCCCATTCCACAGTACCCGACAAACTATTCAAGTAAGTCTAACGGATCATGGACCAAGCGTTGGATTTCCATTGTTCTAATTGTTCCTGTATCAAGATACCTGGCTTCTGTACCAAGACCTCGATCACAATAGCGCCGATGGCATGCCAGTGTTATATGCGAACCTGTCGAAGAATGCTTCAATACCGGACGTTAGCGGAGGGATTCTATGGGCAGATGACGTGAATAAGAGATTCTACCTGTTCGGGGGAGAGTATTACCAGTCTGCGCCGACTGCCTTCAATCTATACTCGTATGATGCGATCAATAATTGGTGGGATTCATTTGGGCCGCCCCAGCAGACTTCAATCAGCAGCGTTTCGTATGGCGCTGGCGTTGCTGTGTCAGATAGGGGTGTGGGTTACTACTATGGCGGTTGGTTGTCGAACAATTCCGTGCCTGGCTGGTCGGGAGATCCTATTGCTACATCTGGCCTGATCCGTTATAATATGGACTCGAATACGTGGACGAATAACACCGGGCCAGATTCCGTACGGAGAGCCGAGGGATCGATGAACTATATACCTGCCGGAGATGGTGGAATGCTCATCTATTTCGGGGGCGTGACGGACCCGTATGTGAATGGAACGGTTGTCGGACAACCGATGGATCAAATATTCATTTACGATATTCTGAGCAATAAATGGTACACGCAGAATACGACTGGAACGACTCCACAGATGCGCCGGCGATTTTGCTCTGGCGTAGCTTGGGCCCCGGATCAGTCTAGCTACAACATGTAAGTTTGACTATACTTACGAAGGAGCCTTTTATACTTTCTTTGCTTGGACTAATTTGACTTGCAGCTATCTCTACGGAGGGGCGGGCATGCCTCCTGAAACGGCTGGCTATGATGATGTGTATATCCGTGAGTCCTTCTCCATCCACGAATCGTGGCTTAGCTTGCTAACAAGCATGTTATCACAGTGAGTATTCCTACATTTACCTGGATAAAAATGTACCCAACCGATGGCAATGTGACTGGGCAATATCCACACCACAGTCTTTCATGCAATGTTATTAGTGGCGCCCAAATGCTGATCATTGGCGGAACGTTTCCCCTGACGGATGATTGCGATGCCGCGCCGCAATGGGGTACACACAATCTCGATATGGGCGAGCAAAATGCAAAGAAGGTTCCGTGGCAGCTCTTCGTGCCAAACCTGACGACATACGCTGTACCCGATCCAATTCTATCCGTAGTTGGTGGTGAAGCCACAGGCGGCGCAACCAAGACGGCTCCAGTAAACGGTTTTGACAACGTTGACCTCGATGTGTTAATGACACGGAAGGCCTCGGTGGCCGCACGCACCCCTACACGTGCTATACCCGGCGCAA